CTTGAGTTGATGAGGGCTTGCTGCACACACCTGCGACATGATGGACACTTCACACTCGACAAAATAGAAAAACAAATGCGACGCGCAAACGATGACTTGACATGGGAGTTGTGAAAACTCGCTAATGTCTTGACCGACACAAACCACATTGTGATACACCATTCTACACAAGTAGTAGATAGCAATGACATAGACTCACAAGTCATTCCATGACATGCATGCACACACATAAACGAGGATGACAAGCCGAGTGCAAGCCATAGGGTTGCACCAGCAACACCCGTCCATGTCACCCCACACCCCGGGTAACACCCTGGGCTGTAAGACAAGTGGCCTACCTGGTGGAAGGGCTGTAGGTGGCGACCCACTGAGTGGCACTATCTCTTGGCTTTATCAGCACTTTTACTCACCCTTCATACCCACCCACGCCTCCTAGTGGCACAGCGATTCCGTCAAGATACCACCCGAAAGTGGGTGGGTTGACTGGTGGCCTACCTGGTGGGAGGGTTGTAGGTAGCGACTCAGTTGGCACTGGTGTCATTTGGCTCCATCAAGACCTTCACTCGCCCATGTCTCTCAGTTACAGCAAGCCAGCAGCATCCTTTGCCTTACCTGGTGGGAGGGCTGACTAGGAGCACTAGAAGGTTACGGCGGAAAGTGATTGGCGCGAAAAAGGGGGGTGGAAGGTGGGGGGGGGGGGGGGGGAGGGGGGGGAGAGAAGGTGGGGAGGGGGAAACGGGGGTGCGGGGGAGCAGGAGCACCACGGAGAATGTGCGGAGGGATTGTACACTTGCCTGATCGCCATCTCATTGTAAGCCTCGTACTCGAGCCGAGTCACGACCCTGTCTTCAAACGAGTCGCGCGTGGTCCCGAGAAACGTCAAGATCACTCCAGCCCCCAGATCCCTGAACAAATCGACGTACTTATTGACTGACAGACGCTCCTCCGTTAACTCTACGAAATCCTCTGCTTCCATCTGTGGTGTCGCCATCCCTTACAGAACAATTAGGGGGGGTCCCAATAGTTCATTTCGGGGTACGGGACACGATTTTATGAATCCTGGTACAAATCCCTGAAACGATTCCGATTCCGTAAATCTTTGTAATTGTGTCCCTGTTCACACGTGGCGCACAAGGGGGGCGCCAATTGTCCACATGTGAAAAAGCTGAGCTGCGCGCAACAGCCCAAAAAGCAGTTACCAAATGTAAGCCTGCGCGAAACATAAGTTTTGCACACCGCGCAAAAGACAGCAGGCGGGGAAACCCATCCCGCTTTTGCAAACATTGGCAGCGGCGAGCCTGGGGGGCCAATCAACAAGCGGGGGAATCTTTCCTCACTTAGGTACTTGCGAGCGTGACAAAACATCGGCGCATAGTGGTCCAACTAATGGCGCGTTCGGTTGCGGATGCGGTATGGCGTCGCGCGCGCATATGTATTCGCGACGTCGCCTGGTTTTTGCCATCGCCAGCGGGGCGATATCCAGGCGCGACACACTTGGAACCCCGTCCCCGAATCTTGCACCTTCCGGCTTTTTTACGTTTGCAATCCGAAATCTGGTACATGGCCCGACGCATGTGAAGGGTGTCCCAGGTTACGTCAATATTTCATACGTGTCCTGGCGAAACCTTAAACAAGGTGTTACTTGTTAAAATCAGGTTACTTTTAACGAAATGAATAGAACGTGAACTATTGGGATCCGCCCTTAGGGTTGCACGATTAGGGTTTGGACTCTACGAAAGGAGGAGAAGCAGAAACAGGAAATCAAGGCCTGACGGAGGGAGAAATTTGTCATTGATTGCGGAAGCGAGGATTCAGACGGAGCCTTGGATGCAAAAACCTCAAAATGCAAGCGTCTGGTAACGCTACCTTCGTGACGACGCAGGGAAAGGAAAATAAAGGAAAGCACTGTTGATGAGCACCTGGAAAGGAGGGGAAGCAACAATGGGTAACGGCGTGCAAGCATGGAGGCTAAGGCAGAAGGTGTAGGGCTGGGATGCCTTGTCCCTGGCGCTTGGGTCTTGGATGAGCGTGTAGCTGAAAGAGGAGACGGTGGAATTGACGTCGGTGCATGGAAGGAGGGAGGGAAGGGAGGGGAGTGAGGGATGTCGTGTTTTGATTTGTCTGACAACACACTGGGACGGTGAGGGATGGCGAGGGATGGTGTGGTTTGAGTCGACCTGAACATGCCGGGTGCTGCCTCTTGCATTCGGGTCTTAGACAGGCATGTAGCTGATAGGTGCGACTGTGGACTTGACGGGTGAGCATGGGGGGAGGGACAGAGGGAAGGGTGGGAGAGAGCAGGCAAGCAGCAAGGGATGCCTTGTCTCTGGCGCTTGGGTTACGGATGAGCGTATAGCCCTAGATGCCCCTGTGGACTTGACTTCGGAGCAAGGCGCGAGGCGGGGGAGTGGGGCGGAACAGGCTTGCAAGGGATGGAGGGGGGGGTTGAGGAGGGAGAAAGGAAGATAAGCATGGGGAAGAGGAGGGAGTGGGGATGTATACCTGCGGGAATGAACGGGAAGGTGGCAGAAGGGCCTGCATTGAAGATGATGGTGCTACAATGCCCTCCAATGCATGGGGTGATTCTAGAATGTGGTGGGTTGCATCCGGTGCCTCCTTTATTAGAGGCGTCTCAAGGCACGGTAGCAGAAGAATGTGCATTGAAGCTGATGGTGCTGCAGTGACCCACCAATGCAATGGGTGATACCAGAATGTGGTGGGTTATATCCCATGCCTCCTTTTCTTTAGGCATCTCAAAGCAAGGTAGCTAGCAGAGGGACGTCAATTCAAGCTGATTGTGCTTCTGCACCCCACCAATGCATGGGGTGATTACAGAGTGTGGTGGACAGTATCTCCCGTGCCTCTATGTGTCACCCTCCCAACTTGCCAATATGCAGCCTTTTTCAACATTCGCCTGACCCACGTAAGTTGCTTATAGTGGTTCGATGGATATCAGGCTTTGACACTTTACCCTAGAGTATGTCGAGTGAGGTTCCTTGAAACTTACCCTGAACGTAAGCGTCCGGGGTCATGCCATTGCCATTAGGGCACAAGAAGTAAACAACTAATGGGAGTAAGCCTGTAGGCGTCTCACCTTTGACTCTGTAGGCGTTTGTCGTGCTTCTCCCCTTTCTTCCCTTCTCCTCAGTTATCCTTCTTCCCTGCCTATCTTACCCGCCAGACCATTCCGCCGCTTGTAGGTTATCACTGGTGTCTTGGGACCAAGCTCTACATGTTACAAACCTTGCAATGGCTGCTCAGATCTATTTAGGACCAAATTCCCACACTGCCAAGGGCAAGGAGAAGGAAGTGGTGGACCTGTCTCAAGAGGAGCGGGAGGTAGAGGAGGATAGCGCCACTAGTAGTGGGTTCTGTTCTGATGTGTGAGCCTTGTATTGTGCTGCAGCAGCAGCAGCACCACCAGCAGTTGCATATTCATGCTAATATACTTTTCAGTTGAGTTCTTGTGCAAATAAACAACGTTCCCCCTAAACGCGAAGTATACCCTGAGAGCACTGTTTGATGATCGTAAAGCACCCTGACAAATCAGTGAGCTATGGGTCTTCTAACCCTGTCTGCTGCACGCTTTTGGCAGAGCCAAACCTGAGGGCTCAGGATGCCTAGAATCCTATCTGAGGTCCTGCCAGATTCCTAAGGGTGCCTCACAACCAGTTTTGACCCCTGGTTGTCAAGTGACACCAAGGGCACATGACTGACCGTTGGACTGCCAGTCTCTGCCGGCTCACTGCCCTCCACACCTCTTTGTATCCCTTTTACGTTCCTGACGACTATCGCAATTACATGTTTTAGTAATGAACACAACGAAACTATTTACCGGAAAACTATTGTAACTATTCAACTGGGGAGAAATGGCATAAATAAATCATAAATACATGACGCTCTCATAATAAGAACCTAATAAAATTACTAATATTGATATGACTTTGGATGGATGCTTCAATAAAGAAAACACAAATATGTATTCGAATCAAAAAGCATATGGCGTACTCTCAGATATTGAGTCCCCGGAGCCCAAAGCGTAATATTTTAAAAGTTAGTTATTCAACCATTAGTAGGTAAGATTATCATTTTATCTAAACACTGATAGGAATGTAGTAATTGCATTAATAATGTGCTTTAGATGATTACCATAATAATTTTATACATTTAAATAATTGTGTGCCAATACAAAAATGTTATCACAACTTGGTATATTGTACGTAATATCTCTCAAACATAATTTAGTATTGGCCTACAAGGACTTACATTGGTTACTTGTACTAGTGGTCATAGTTAGTGCCTTAATGTCATGGGATGCTGAAAAAAAAAAAAAAAAATGGAGCCTGCGGAAACCCTTGCGGAAATGGCGAGAATGTGATCTCGTTATACGTTGTGCGACTCAGACCCGATCCTTCTGTATAAATACAGACTCGAGGCACAAACACTAAACGAGCTAAGCACTTGATGCATTTTTGTCGCCCCTGCCAATGTACCTAATGCAAATTGATCTCTTCTCCCCATGCAATCATGCAATCGAGATTCAAGAATCACCACGAAGACTCACATTATGCCAGAGAACGCATTCAGTTTGGCTCACTTTAGGGATGACCAATCCTTGGCTCACTCTAGGGATGGCCTATCATATCCTTGGCTTTTGTTGCCCGAAACAAGTTTAGGGTTTATGCTTTCCGAATGACAACCACGTTTCCCTGGGGTTTATATTTTTTCGCTTGCATGAAAAAGAGTTTTACAAGAGTGAGCCAAAATTATTTTTTGCTCTGGCATAATGTGAGTGCGGCTGATCTTGCCCCATCGAGATTCGCCCGCCTCCCCAATTCTTTTCCTCCCCATGCAACAATTTTTCCCTGCAATCACGAACCACTTCTTCTACCAACCTGGTTTCGTCACCATTGTTTACGAGCGTGAAATCACTAAAGTAGGGGGGTGGACGGTCGGGGGCAAATAGAAAGTATTCATCGACTCGTCTGGAATTTTAGACCTTGTATTTACATCGTCTGGGAAATCAGAAACCAGAATCCCGTCCGTCTGGTCGCTTAGAAGGTGGAAAAGGGCTAGCGAGGGCCATGTTCGCGGCCCTCACTACGAAGCTTTCTTCTTCTTCTTCTTCTTCTTCTTCTTCTTCTTCTTCTTCTTCTTCTTCTTCTTCTTCTTCTTCTTCTTCTTCTTCTTCTTCTTCTTCTTCTTCTTCTTCTTCTTCTTCTTCTTCTTCTTCTTCTTCTTCTTCTTCTTCTTCTTCTTCTTCTTCTTCTTCTTCTTCTTCTTCTTCTTCTTCTTTTCCTGGGGTGCCGCATCGGGTAGGCGAGTAAACACACGATTCGCACATGCTCCAAAAGTTGAAGTTTGCTCCGTGGTTCGCACCTCACGCAGTGCGGTGCGGGTCAAAGGAACAAGAGACGCGTACAACGAGAGACATACTTGGGTTCCCCTTGCTAACGCCGCGAGTTCTGCTAGCGGATTCCACGCATTGCGAGTAGTAGTTGTGTGTACTACTGTGAACGCGTAATGATGGGGAGTAATTGGTGGACGATGCCTCACCCTTCAAGATTGTGCTTCAAGTATAGTGCACAGGAGAGAGAGTAAAATGAAATATTGTTCGGTTATTTTTTCGTCCTACATGTCGTATTCTACTACTTCAAGCTCCGAGGATATAGAAAATTGCACGTAGCGAATACCCCTGTGCGACCCTGGCAAATTTGTTTAGAATGCTTACGAGGTTGTAGGAACATTATCGCTTCTGTACTGTAGAGGGGCGGGGAGCCTCTCTTTTGCGCCAACCATGTCCATGTATGCACGTCGCCCATTTTTTGCATGTGCCGCATAGCCAAGTTTCATCCACGTATAGAATATCCTTGGTTGCAACAATAACGATGCAAATGAACGGGGGCCATCTCGATGATGCACTGAGCGCTACAGGGATTGTAACTTGGTGGAGGTAAATACGCCCACCCCGAGGCTTTCCACTTCCGTTGGGCACATGTTGACAATGGATGCATGCTAAGTGGCACGCTCTGATTGGGCGTGGATTCTGTTCGGTTGGTAAGCCAAATGGATTCCCACGTCTTGCCTGGCGCATTCAAATCTCAGGGCGATCGCCGTGGGTCGTCGACCTCTCCGCGGACAGCATTCGTTCTAGGAATGAAAATAATTGGATGCCCAACATTAAATGTAAGCATGCTTATACGATGCCTGATTGACAGGTTTCATGTTTACTTGTGTATGTGGAGTTTGCACCTAGCGAATGATTGCCCGAGTCGTCGTTGCACTAGTCGCATATGACCTGTACACTTCAGAAAGTTCGCCGAACAAATGAATGTACTTTTCAGCCAAACGGAAGGCGCTGGAAACACTCGAGACTAGAGCTTGGTGTTAAAAGGAGGGTCTAGCTAGGTAGGAAGAAATAGCGAGAAAAAAAAAGAGTTGGACTCGTGAAAAGAGAGAGATACAAGAAGTGGGTTGTCCATTTTTTTTATGACTGTTACAAGCTCGAAGTGAATTCTTCCACCATGCGTAGCTTGGCACGCTTGTCATTCATCCAATAAGCGGGGATGAGATTTATGTTAGAAATAGACTGCAAATACCACTTTTATATTTGTACTTTTATATCCTAGTTTAGGTTATGAATATTCTAGTGGGTTGGGGTGTACTCACAAATCCCAACCTCACCCAATTGTGATCCCCCCAATCTCCAATTACCCAATTGGAGATTCCGAAGATCCCAATGGGGATTCCCTCCAATTCCCTCCTTCATCCATTTTCTCTCACCTTGCCATGTACTTATAGAGCCTTGGGCTCCTTACCTAATCAATCATTTCAACTCTATTTCTTACATGGTATCAAAGCGACCTATCCGCACACGCGGATCAAGGTCCTAATCTTAACGTGCCCGCGTTACGCGCACTTCATCGTCGCGACATTCGTCTCGAGTCGTCGGAATTTCGACGTGCTCCACTATGCAGTCGCGCCTCTCATCGTCGACCGCCTTCGCGCTCGACCTCGTTGAATTTCTCATCTTTGAAGCTTTCACGCTTCTCATCGTCAATTTCCTCCTCGGCTCTCCTTGGTCGAATCTCAATTTCGACCATCTCTTAAAACTCGTTCTCGAGTTTCCCCTCAGACCCCGCCAGAATAGGCGAACTCCCATCGCAAAATCGCCTCCACGAACATCTCGCGTCAAGCAAGAGCAGGAACACAGGTTGAAGCGGAGCGGGGCTGGTTGCGGAGCTGGTTGCGGAGCTGGTTGCGGAGCTGTGTAGCTGCGGGACAGAGCCTGGGGGTGTGTGGGGGGGTGTGTGGGTCCGGGGTTAGACATAGTCTCAGATTCAGTTTCAAGAGTGATTTACAGCAATTCTCGTCGACCAATTTCCAGAAGTGCCGCGCTGCACACCGACAATGGCTTACTCAACCACTTCACTCGCCAATCCGATCCCGCTCCTTCGTCTTGAGCCGGACGGTACATGCTCCAACTACAAGGCTTGGCGCTATGGTGTCGACAAGCACCTCCTCAGTCGTGAGGTGAAGGGGCTCGAGCTCACCAACGTCCTTCTCAACATCGGTGATGGCAAAGAGCCCCCTAAACCCGAGAGCTCCGCCGATCCAGCTAATGCCGCCGCCGAAGCAGTTTATGCTGCTGCACTGCTCAAGTACAAGAATTGGGAGAAGACCGATGGTGCGGTCATTAGTGTCTTCATGGGCACCACTCCTCCTGAACTCGTCGAAACCTACCACAACTACCCGTCTGCCAACGCCATTTGGCTCTACCTCGAAGACCGCTTCCTGAACAAGACCGCAGTGGGAGTTGCTATACTCATCCCCAGCATGTTCCAAGTGCGGCTCGAGAACTCGCCAGGCATGGCGGACTATGTCACCAAGGTGTAGTCCATTCATGGTGAACTCAAACAGTTGGGGATAGTCTTCCCCGAGCAAGCCCCTGCAGCCGCTCTCCTAGTCGGCCTCACTCCGGCATACGAAGTCACACGCAAGATGCTCTTGGGCCTTGCTCCTGCAGACCTCACATTTGCCAAGGTCTCATCTGCGCTCCTTTCTGCCGAAAAGGACAACAGCGCTCAATCCAAGGCCAATGCAATCCGCGCTCCCGTGCCTCATGCCTATGCCGCTTCGGCACCGTTCCAGCGCAACCGCTTCCCCTCGTGTCCCTACGTCATCAAGCGCGGCCCTCGTGCCGGCCAGGTGTTTGGCGGCACCAACCACGGCCTTGCCTCCTGCTTTAAGAAGAAGGATGACGAATGGTATGCCGTCAATGGGACCGCCTCGAAGTCGCTAAGCTGGATGGTCAATCGTGCTCCTCGCCAAGTCAATCAAGTCGAAGCGCACGAATCCGTGCAGGCTGTTGTGGCTGCACCTGCTGATGTGCGCCTGAACATGTTGTTCCCTGGCACTGCCATGAATAATGAGACGAATTCGTAGTATCCTGGCTCACAAAGCACCTCAGCCACAATAGAGTTCAGCCACAATAGAGTTCACCCTCGACCGTGGGGCCACTCACACGGTTCTCAAAGAAGAACACTCCTTCAAGCCATACGAGACACCAATCCGTCTACTAGGAGCAGACTCCAGTTTCACAACACACGCCAAGGGCTCCTCCACAGTTCCGTGCCCAGCTTTTCCTTCGGGCAGTGTGAATGGCATGTGTGTTCCCACACTACGCCACAGTCTCGTGGCCCAACACGAGCTCCAACGGGCAGCCGTCACCACGATCTTCCCAGCACACTCGGATCACTGTGACCTCCTCGACCCTAGGTCCAACAAGCTCCTAGCACGCTTCACACTCAACAGCAACAAGCTCTACACGCTGCGTTCACCTGCACCTCTCGCCGCCCTCTCCCAAGCGCAAGCTGCCAGCACCATTCCGTGTTCCTGTCGCAGCTTCGCCAACCCAACCATCCTCTACCACCATCGCTTGGGTCACCCCAACTTCCGTACACTTGACGACATCGCTTCCAAGAAACTTCTTCTTGGCCTCCCGTCGGCGCTTTCTCCACCAACAGACTCACCTGCACCCACCTGCCTGGACTGCACCAAGAGCAAGCTCAGGCAGCAGCCGCACCCTTCCTCCCCATCCGTCGCAGCTGCTCCGCTGGACCTAGTGCACATGGATGTCTGGGGCCCAGCTCCAGTCGCATCCCGAGGCGGTTATCGGTACTTTCTTACACTATTCGATGACCACTCGCGGTATGTTTCTGTGCACCTCCTGCATACCAAGGCGGAGGCACCTGATGTCATTATGGCGTGGGTGCGCCAGGCTCAAGTCACGTTCGGCACTCCTCTGAAGTGCCTCCGTTCTAATGGCGGGGGAGAATTTCACAATGGCAAACTCGATAACTTCTGTGCGGCCCAAGGGATTCGGCAAACCTTCACGCTCCCCAAAAGCCCGCAGCAGAACGGCATTGCAGAGAGCCACAACCACACCTTGGTTCAGATCGCTCGCTGCCTCCTCAGTCACGCCAACGCACCACGGTCACTATGGGGATATGCCCTCTTCCATGCGGCACTCCTCTACAATCTTTATCCGCATCCCCACTGGCCCGACACCACACCGACCGCTCTCTGGCTTGGGGTCACGCCTTTCGTCCGCTCTCTACGCGTCTGGGGGTGTACTGCGTATGTGTTGCTCAGCCCCCACACACGCAGGAAGCAAGGTGGCAAGCTTGGTCCCAAAATCCAGACCTGCATGTACCTGGGGCACAACTCCGACTCCCTAGACTACTTATTCCTCAACCTCATCACCAGACAGCTGATTCGCAGCCGTGATGTCGTCTTCGATGAGACACGCCCATTCTACTCTGCAACCACGGGCGAGCCTCCTCCACCTCCCCCAATGCTTGTTTGGGCAGACTACGATGCCCCACCTCCGGCCGCTGCCCCTTCTCCGGGGCCTTCTCCGTCCGGCGTGTCTCACGTGGCCTCCCCAGTATCCTCCGCAGTGGCACCTCCTCCTGCTCCGCCTTCCCCGCACGTCGAGCCCGTCTCACCAGTCTCCTATCGGAGGCACTCAGTCCCTCCGGTCCCACCGCAGCCGCCTTCGTCTCCGGTCTCTAGTCGCACTCGTTCCAAGGGACCGGCTCCGCCTCTCGCCTGGGGACCAGCCGCCTTCTCCATCCGGTGTTCGGTCACCCCGCCTCCTCCTGCCGGGGGTGATGTCCCCTCCATTGGTATTCCCTCCCGTGCACTTCTGGAGGACAGGCATGAGGAGCTGTTTGACCTTCACGCGGTCTGCCAATTTCTCTCTCACATCTTTCCGGACATTACTGACTGCCCTTCCCTCAACTTCACCGAGAACCCGACCATTCCGACTCCTCGCACAAAA